TTTTTGTTGGAAGAAATGAAAACAATTTGTACATGTGAATGAAAAGCATAAGTACCTTGAGCCAGTTGCTGAATTGTGCTCAATGTATCATTTTTTTGTTCAACAAAGAAATCACCCAGCGAGAGGGAGAAACGAGCTGACGAGCAACCCGGTAACTGCAGAGCAATACACTGTCTCTGCAGAGGTAGCCATTTCCTCACTTGGAAGATAAAGGGAAGATAGATCATTTGATATGGCAGTGTTTTAGATAGATGTGGCTACACAAACAGGGGGGAGTCATTTTCTCCGCAGCGGGAGGCTCTCGCAGCAAAGAACAGCTCTAACCATGTGAATAATATGCCATCATCAGCTGATACAGTATATATCTGTGCCGGACCATCATCTGCGTTCACATCGGGGGCATGTCACGAATGAATAGTGGGGGCTTTGAATCAGGTTGTTTCTATAAATATTGTAGAGGTGTGATAATATCTCTGTTTATTGTGGATGTTGATATAAAACAGCCTTTTATGCACAGGAGGACACACTGTGTTTTTACGAGCTGCACCGCTTGTCTCTGTGATTAAAGATGTCTTAGACTATAAACTTTTACAGCACAGTAATAATTGCTCGCTGTTTTTAGGAATATCACATCTCTCCAAAGGGATTCAAAGAGTAAACTGGACCTGAGAATAAACCTGCAATGAACAGGGTCATGGCTCAAAGCTTTATGATTGTTTGCTGCCAATCCAGACATAAATCACGCAGCACATGAAAACGTCTTAAATGTGAAGAGTTTATTTCTATTTGAAAGACCCCTTTTAATTATCATTTTCACAATAATTGCTGGTAATTGACGCCTGAAAAGACTGTTGTGCTTGTTAATTCTCTGCATTTGACTGTACAGCGCTGTCCCTGGGAGGATTGTTGACATCACAGAGACCCATGCACTAAGGTGTAAACTGATGAAGGTTTGACCATTTTCTCGTATCTGTGAAGAGCGAATAATTCCTCCAAAGTGCCGTTCAAGAGTTACATCTTTTCTGATCCTCAAGATAGAAGGAAACTAGTTCTAACAAATTGCATGTAATCCTCAAAATCCCCAGAAGTTGTTTCATATGGCGACTGTTACGTATTTATTTATCATTTCACTTTAAACTGTTTGTGTTTAGACTGTGCATGTACAATAAAAATGTTTTCCACCCACCAAAAAGACAGAAACATTGGTCAATACAAAACCAAATATTTGGTCTTTGAATCTTTTGAATTACATTCGGCACCAAATTTCCTCTCAACTTTAAAACTGTTATGACTGCAGAGAAGAACTCTGTTGAACAAGTGATTGCTGTTGTTGTGGTATTACTTTGACGTTGAAAAATGGCCCAAAAATTAATTCAGCTGCTTCAATAAGTGCGCAAGTTTTCTTCTGGGTTTGGATCATTTGAACTGTTCTTTGGTGTAATGATAGCAGATTAAAGGAATAATGGAATTTACAAATCATTCAAACAGCCACTGGTAACATAATGAAGGTAACAATTGTATGTTTGAAGACCGCACTCACTTTAATCGACTATTGTGTGATGGATGAATGAAAAATCTTACCTAGTGAAGAATAGATGTGGACATATTACAACAGAGTTACACTGTACTGACACTGACAGTGCAACATGGGCAACAGCAAGTTACTGGAACAGTCTGAGTCACAGTGAATGTAGGCCCAGCAGTCTTTGCTTATAAACAATAGTTCTGGCTGAGAAGTGCAACATGGAGAAGCTGATGACAGCAATTCAAAGCCTCCAAAAAAAAAACCTTTGAAAACAGCAGTTGCTGGACAATGGGTTGCCTTCATTGCTGGTTTTGAGGTTCAGCTTTGAAGTCGTTCTTTTGAATGTTGATACGTTTTTTTCACTTCAGGCTGGCTCTATATATGAAATGAATAAAAGCAAGAAATACAGAATGTGACTAGTGAAGAAAAAAGATGACTCTTTCAGCTGACAACTGAATGACAAAGGATCGGTTCAGACTATTATGCTATAGAAACATAGCAATTACTACTCCTTACAATGAACATTTCAGATATTATTTTCTTACAGACAGCTGTCGTTTTAGATTGACAGTTTAGCCCGACCAATTTTTTGAGGACAATATTGACATTTGACAGTTCAGCCACATTTTATAAGTATAAATTGAAACTGCTATAATAAATCCATTTAATTTCCATTGGTGCAATGCCTTGTTTAAAAACTTTAAATGAGTGAGTTGTGTTACAGATGAAACACAATAAACGCGTCACAGCTCCACATGAAGAATATCTCATGACACACACTCATTTGTCTCCCTATAGAGACACCACTAAACAGGTTGCAGACAAGCTGCAGTACTTCTGCGGTGCATCGCCTGGGACGCTGCCATCTGTTTGTGCATACAAGCTCTTTGTTGGAAGACAAACTGCTGCTGGTGCTACTTTATGTTATAATCAGTGTCTGTATATGGCTAAACAACTAAAAGTAACATTAAACAGAAACTTCTAATTTTACTGAACTTGCATTAAATTAAATCCACTAACTGTCAGCCTCATTTTCACCCACTGCACAAATAACACCAGCTGTGTTTTCTTAAAGTTAAATTTTG